AAACCTAACTAAGCAGCCTATTCCAACATATAGTTTTGTTTTATCTTTTTATTCCTTAGAAACTTGTTTGTTTTTCTTTTTTTTAAAGATTTATTTATTATGTGTACAGTGTTTTGCCTGCAGGCCAGATAGTACACCAGATCTCATTACAGATGGTTGTGAACCATGTGTGGTTGCTGGGAATTGAACTCAGGACCTCTGGATGAGCAGCCTGTGCTATAACCAATAAGCTGTCTCCAGCCCTGCCTGTTTGTTTTCTAATGAGAGTCAGAAAGAGGTGGATCTGACTGCGAGGGGAGGTGGGGAGGAGCTGGGAGTAGAGGGAGAGGAGACCATAATCAGAATGTGCTGTGTGAGAAAAAGCTATTCTCTCTCTCTCTCTCTCTCTCTCTCTCTCCCTCCCTCCCTCCCTCCCTCTCTCCCTCTCTCCCTCCCTCCCTCCCTCCCTCCCTCCCTCTCTCCCTCCTTCCCTCCCTCCTTCCACCTTCCTTGGCTGTCCTGGAACTCACTCTGTAGACCAGACTGGCCTCAGACTAATAGAGATCCGCCTGCTACTGCCTCCCAAGTGCTGGGATTAAAGGTGTGCACCACTACCTCCTGCTAGTAATTTTCAATAAAAGGGAAAAAAAAACACCAAAAAAGAATTTAACTGAGTAAAAAAAATGCATTTGTGTGCACGCATAGAAGCATATGTGAGCATTTCACTAAGGAAAGCACATTTGAGGAAGGTGAGGCTGGGAGGGGCGGTAGGGGTGGCAGGGGGAGTGGAGAGGCACCTGTGCTGAGAAACAGTCCGTCTATGTAGAAGAAGCAGAAAAGATGAAGGGCTGGGCCTGGTGGCAGAAGCCTGAATGTCCAGACAAGAAATTCAGACAGTTCTAGCATGTGAACCCTCAATTAGAACCATCAATTCCAATTGAGCATTTGTGGTCCAGTGGTGTCTTTTAATGCTGTTTGGAAGGGGACACACATTGAGCAGCCTTTGAGAGCAGCCTGTTCCTCTGAAGGAACAGTGTGAACCTTGAGCTCCGTCTCCAAGGGGTGCTTGACGATTCTGGATCACATGGCCGTGTAAGGCTTGCTACTTGTTTTCAGCCATACACACTCTGCCTCGGGAACGTGGGGTACCTGGGTCTGCAGTGCAGGCACTGGCACATGTATGCGCTTAAACTTTGGAGAGGTGCAGCAAAGGAGCTGGCGTCCTGGGAGGACCTTTCCCCCTGCCGTCCGTCTGTCCTCACTTCAGCCCTTACCAAAATGAGGCTTTGTTCCTTTCCACACAAGAAACAGGATGATAGGCAAACCCAGGCCTCCCCGGTTGAGGTTGATGGGGAGACGCAGACCTGGATCTCTGACACTTGAGGCTCACTCAGTGGCGTCTTTGGAGGCTCTCGCAGTGACACGGGGCAGCTGAGCGCCTGCTGCAGAGCTAAGTCCATCAGCAGTGGAAGCTGCTGTGGGCGGAGGCCAGAGGTATCTGCTAGCATGCAGAAATAACAAAATGGGCCAAGAGGGTTCCTTACAGCCAGGCAGAAATGTCCACTAGAATCTGGGGGAGTCCGGGTGAGCCTCAGGGAGGTTGGTAGCAGTGATGTTATGAGAAGTGACCCATCTGACAGCTCGAATCAGAGTCATCCTTAGCAGAGCTGAGCTGGCCATGTGCTTTCTCTGAGGTAGGTGTCCGTTACAAGAGAGCCTGAGTCCAGATGAGTGGACCATACCTGAGGATTTGGGCAGGAACGTTGTAAATGACCTGATGCGAGGTGGAGCGTGAGCAGTGTCTAACAGTCTGCCCTTCCCTGCCAGCCGCAACCCAGATTTCTGCCAGTTCCTCCTAGGAAGGAAGCAAATCAGAAATCTGTTCCTGGAACCTGGAAGTCCAGGGAAAGTTTGGTCATTTACGTATCTGCCCACTGCCTGGAGCAGTGTCCCGTAAGTGGAGGCTCTATTTAGTTTGAGCTGCCTTACCAACAGGTGTCTTTTAGCTTTGCCGTGACACAGGGCACCAATATTTCTGTGACTTCACTTTCCTTGTCTCCTCGCGTGTTCTTCCTGTCCTAGGTAGGGATTGAGTCCGTTTTCCAGACTACCGTGTACCTTTCTTTCATGTGATTGGCATTTTGAGGGTGTGGTCTCTTGATGTGTTGTGGTAGTTTTATTTTTGGTCTGATGTCTTCCTTTCTTGTCTTCTCGGGAATGATGTCAGGAAATACATTTATCTTAAGAACTTTACTCAAGACACAGCAACTCTGTGACAGTACAGATAGCAGGCTGAGCCTGTGTTGTTTCTTGCCAATTTCTTCTGGAACTGGGGGGTTCTTTGTGGTTATGACAGGGTTAGGTTGTTATTTCTGTGTCTTAGAAGGAGGAAGCAAGCTCCGGGCACTACGCGGCTTATAAATCTTGGAAGAAACAGTAGGTTTTTGAATTTCCAAACAGGCCCAGCCTCTTTTAGATGTGCTGAGAACAAAGTAGACTGACTTGGACAAGAAAACAAGTTGCTTTCATTTTCTTTTTCTTTTTGGTTTTCCAAGACAGGATTTCTCTGGAGCTTTGGAGTCTGTCAGTAGTTGTTTTCTTTTTGCTTTTTTTGAGACAGAGTTTCTCTGTGTAACAGCCCGGGCTGTCTTGGAACTAATTCTTGTAGACCAGGCTCAAACTCACAGAGCTCCAGCTAAGTCTACCTCCCTTACTGCTGGGATTAAAGGCGTGCGCCACCGCCACCCTGATTTCATTTTCTGCTTGTAGGGAAGGCCATGACTAGAAGAGTCGCATGTTATGGCTCTGACCATGACCAGTGTCAGGATTGAGATGGATCTGAATGATTGGGAGTGCCCTCAAGACTGCAGCATCGGAGCTGTTTTAGCTTGTGTGCGTTTGAGAGATCCAGAACTATAGAAATGGCACATTTCCATGCAGTGAGACCATGAAATGTAAAATGTCAAACGTTTATGCCTTTTGCTGGTATGTAAGGAACTCAGTTAAAAGTTCTGGTTGGCAACCAGTGTACATGGCCAGTTAAGTATTTTAGAAAGTAGCCATTTGTCTGTGGACAGGAGCCGTTGAGGTAGAAATTGTGAAGTGGATGTGTAGAAGGTTCTCCAAGGAGCTGGAGGTTCTTGTGCTGTGTTGCAGTGATATGGAAAGCCCACCAGGTGGCAGCAGTAATTTGCTTACCAACTGTGTCCCTAACCACCATACATAGCGTTTGAAGCTCATTTCAATTTATACCCCTTTGAGAATATGGCTCCATAGTCACTATGCCCTTAATTCTGGCCCCCAAGCCCCCTTATCGTCATTATCCGTCATATTTTAGTATCTGGCCACGTTCTGCCTCTAGGGTGATCTGTGGGCACTGGCTCCCCTTCAGGAGTTGCTGGTGCCCCTCCCTTTTCCTTTTAAAAGGAGATACATGGCCCAGGCTGACCTAGAGCTCCCTAAGTGAGCAGCCAAGGGTGACCTTGAACTTCTGATCCTCATGCCTTCACCTGAATGCTAGGATCTAGGATTAAAGGCTCGTGGCCAGGTTCAGGACCCCTGAACATTGTTAGGGGATGCTACTGGGGATTGTAAGCCTGGTGTGAACATGCAGTAGCTTTCCGAGCTCACTTGTCTAGTGGCACAAGTCACTCTTGGGAATAAGAAATCTGAATCTATGGACCGCGTGGTTGCATAAACCTCACTCCTACTGAGCCCCCCACCACTTTCAGAATGTTCACAGACAGTTGGTTGTGGATGTCATTCCTGTGGCTCGGTCTTCCCTGAAGTCCTGCTGTTGGTTGTGGATGTCATTCCTGTGGCTCGGTCTTCCCTGAAGTCCTGCTGTTGGTTGTGGATGTCATTCCTGTGGCTCGGTCTTCCCTGAAGTCCTGCTGTTGGTTGTGGATGTCATTCCTGTGGCTCGGTCTTCCCTGAAGTCCTGCTGTTGGTTGTGGATGTCATTCCTGTGGCTCGGTCTTCCCTGAAGTCCTGCTGTTGGTTGTGGATGTCATTCCTGTGGCTCGGTCTTCCCTGAAGTCCTGCTGTTGGTTGTGGATGTCATTCCTGTGGCTCGGTCTTCCCTGAAGTCCTGCTGTTGGTTGTGGCAGTGTGTGACAGACAGTAGATGGCCGTGGAGTTGTGGGCTGTGTGCGGTGTGAATAGGAGCTTATAAAAATCAGAGAAGAACCCTTTTTTGGCTCTGATCTCACTGTCTTATTTGAGCTTCTGACAGGGAACCTGCAGCTAGAACTGCCTGATCAGGGGGAGATACGGGCCGAAGGAGGCCCTGGAAGGCACACTGCAGGCATGCTTGTTTGGCTTGTGTAATTTTATCGGGGACCATTAAGTAAATGGACATTCAGCTTTTGTTTTTTAGGCAACAGATGAGGCTTTTAAGCACACTGGGAGGACATTTGAAGAGGTTCATAATGTTATTTCATTAGTACGGCCAACCTACACAGCCAACGTGTTTTCTCCTCGGCCTTCCTCATTGTGTCTGATTTGACGACAGCATAATTTACAAGTTCAATGTCTGGTAGTCCAGGAACATTTAAAACTAAGCAAAAGCAGTTGCATGTGCTTACTGTGAAAAGGTGAGCTGCGATCGAAGTGATCTAGAAAGTTCTGTTGACATGGCAGCTGCTGGTGAGTTTGCTAAGCCAGGGCCGTTTTTATTATGGGAGCTGAGACTCTGAAGCCAGCAGCTTTGGCTTCTCCTATGTAAAGGGCCAAAAACTCTGAATTGGAGATAAAGAGAAAATAACAGCATTTTCCCCTGAAAACTTAATGATTAGTGCCCTTCCTCCTCTGTCCTGATCTTTGGGGCAGCATTACTTTAAAGACTCGTTGGAACTGTCTTTGTTTGAATCTCTTGGTTTTCCTTAGCATTGGGCTCTGCACTGGGGTACACTGAGGCTGCTCACAAGAGGTTTTATGGTAATGCATCTAAGACGTAGGAACAAAACCTTGGGAACTATTGGCATAGATCAGTGCCACTAATTGGGCTGCTTTGTTTTTAGGTGATCGGTGAGGACAACGTGGCAGTTCCTTCACACCTTTACAAGGTGATTCTGGCTCGCAGAAGCCCGGAATCTACGGAACCACTGGCACTGGGGGCCTTTGTGGTGCCAAATACAGCTATTGGGTTCCAGTCCCAGTTAACTGAGTTCCAGGTGAGCCTGCAGGACTTAGAGAAGATGTCAGGTCTGGTGTTTTTCCCCCGTTTGGACAGAACCACCAACATCCGGAACATTTGCTCTGTGGATACCTGTAAGCTCTTGGATTTCCAGGAGTTCACTCTGTACCTAAGTACAAGGAAGATTGACGGGGCCCGTTCTGTGGCCAGACTGGAGAAGGTCCTGGAAACTCTGAAGAACTCGGGGGTCGAACCTGACGATTACTTTCTGAGTCGCTATGAGAAGAAGCTAGAGGAACTGAAGGCTAAGGAACAGGTGGATCCCCAGCGGGAAAACCTGTCCTAGAGTCCGGGTGTACGCTGAGCGCCTGTAATGAGTGAACAGGCGTTCCCTCTCTAGGCAGTCGTATTTTAGCAGACTTATTTTAAAGAAATGATGGAATCCTGACTAAACATCCCTCCAAAGACTTAAGAGCTTAAAACTCAGGGTTTTCTTTCCCTAGGATCTGAGTTGGTGGAGGTGGCTTTTAGAATTCCTCTCCTATCCTGTCCAAATACACTGAGGATGTACTTTTTGCTTCTCCTCCCATGATCCTGATGTCCTTCTGTCTGTCTGTTGAAACCTTTCCTAGTGTGCTCTGTAGGCAGTGCTTTGCTTGCGTTGTCTGACTGAGCCTCTGTGCAGAATCCTCTGTTCCCATTCTACATGTGGGGATGTTGAGGCGTAGAGAACTGATCTTCCCTGTTGGTATTCTACAGAAGTGCTCTCCGAGCTAAGACAGGTCGGATGGAGTTTGACTCAAGTATATACCTATGTGTAGGCGGAGGCTGCTTGTCTGTTTCCCAGCCGTCCAGCCCCGAAATCACACAGAAACTGTATTAATCGCAATACTTCTTGGCCAATAGCATAAGCGTATTTCTAGCTAGCTCTTACATCTTAAATTAACCCATTTCTATTATTTTATATTTTACCACGAGGCTGTGGTTCACCGGTACCGGTGTGCCGTGTCTTTCTCCTCCCGTAGCTACATGGCGTCTCCCTGAGCCCGCCTTCTTTTCTCCTCTATCTGCTTGGAATTCCCGCCTTGCCCTATTGAGCGCTGCAATAGGCCCAAAGCAGCTTCTTTATTAACCAGTGTTATTCACAGCATGCGGAGGGGAATCCCACATCACCTGTGTCCATGGGAAATTCCTGGGCCGAGGCCCTGCTTGCTGAGAAGGCTCTGTCTCTGCTGTCTCCTCAGGCAGGGACACTTTAATACCTGAGCTGGGAAGAAGAGAGCAAAGATGGAGATGGTTTGTGGGTTTAACCAGAGCCTGCGATTCCCTCCAGGGATCCCATGGGGCCAGATAGGCTTGTTTCTTCCTTCACTCAGGGCGTTCCAGAGGAGCCCAAGAAAGGTGTGTGCTGAGTCACCAGGTGCCTATGGTCCTGCTGTCTGCCAGGCCAGCACACCATAGGAGGTAGATCCTGGGCCACTCCTGTGGGAGGGGGCAGCTGTCGTGGGTTACAGTCTTGAGCTGTCCTAGGTGTAGATAGTCCAGTGGCTTCCAGGGGAAGGACATGTCTGGTTCTGTCACTCGGCTGCCGTGTTCCGAGCAGTGGAACCGGGGAGATCTTTGATGTGTTGTTTGCCTCTGATAGAAATGCTCCAGATTCACAATAAAGATAAGGCATTGGTTGACCCTGTTCTGCTCCTTCATTTGAGTAAACAGAAAAAGTTGGGTAGGGCACTCCAGCTGATTAATGCCATTCTGTTTTATCTTACTGTTCCCCATTAGCTTGTGCCAGTCCTGCTAAGGATAAAAAGCAAAAATGTCACTGTGACCAAAAAAATCTGTTAGTTTGTCTCCTCAGAAGAGAGGTGATGGTGGGGCCTGGGTGTTTCTCCAGGAGCCCCAGGGGCGGCACTCAATGGGCTGTGTCCTGGGTCCCTGCTTGAATCCATGCAGCTGAGCCTCTCTCTGTTCTGCTTGCTGGCACGACTTGCTGGTGGTCTTGGGTCTCTTCCCTCACTCCTGCCTCTCCTCCTGGATGGTGAAGAATCTTGACTATATCAGTATTTATTTCCTATGAAGTATTTCCTGGTTATTATGAAAAATAGAGATAAAAATGTAACATCACAGTGTGCCAGGTCTCATTCTTTTTCCTTTTGAACCTTTTTATGACTGTTTTCCCATATGCATCTGTGCCCGCAGCGTGAGCACCTGTTGCCCTTAGTGGTCAGAAGAGGTCACTGGACCCCCTGGAATGGACTTACAGAGCCACCGTGTCAATGCTGGGAACTGAACTGGGGTCCTCTGCAGGAGCAGCCCGTGCTCTTTAGCACTGACCTCACTTTTTATGTGTACAACAGCGGGGCTTGAGTTGTGTTTCATTAAGAGGGCCCAAAACAAAGGGTTAGAACTCCCCTTTGGATCAGGTCATTGTGGCCCTCAGTGTAGCCGTCAGTTTTTCTGGATTCCGTTACAGTAGATTCCTGGGCTTCACTTGAGTCAGAGACGTGACGTTGTGACCGGTCAAACTTGAGGGGGTTAGTTTAGCATTTGTTACCTTAGTGGGTTCCCTCGGGTTCTCAGGTTGAGCCTGGGCCGCTGCCCTGTATACCTTTTACCCTTCCAGCTCCTGGTCTGAAGGAATGTGTAGACTGGGAGGGCTCTGCTAAGGGAGGGGATTTAATCCTTAGTCTTTCTCAGTTTCCTGTGACATCTTCAAGTTCTGGTCTCCGGATTGAGATCACTTGGCCAAAGCTAAGTTACTAAGGTTAGGGAGAGAGAGCCAGACCCTGAGTTACGTGCTGTGCTGCCGTTTCTGCACCTACACTTTAGACAGCGGAACCTCTGTCCTCCTTCCAGGCCTTTGATTAGGGCCCTGCAGGAGAGGCAGACAGCCATTCCTGCTGCCGTGACTTCTGGGCCATGGTGGACTGAAATTCCTGCAGTCGTAAAGCTCAAGAAGCCCTTCCTGAAGTTGCTTCCTTCTGTCAGGGATTTGTCAGTGACAGGCAGGACACGGCCCACCCTAGCCCTGAGCCCTGCCGACAATGGTTCTCCTTCCTGCTTGGCCCTCAGCACTTTGCCTATTTCTGTCTTGTGAGTCTTTACAACACACCTCTGTCTTTAAGCCCCTGAGCCTCACTCTAGTTTGTCCTGGTGGAGCTGATGGAGCTGGATTCACAGAGGTAGATTTCCTGTATTCAGTCAAGTTACCAGAAAAGGCCAAACGGGGCTTTGCCCTTTGAGCTGAACCCCATGTAATGGGTTTGGTTATGGGCACAGGCAGTGTGGGGCTAGGGTTGCTCTGGCCCAAGTGTCCAGAGTACCTCTAGGGGTCAGTATGGCCTGCTCTCCACAAGGGCCATCTGGGCTGGGCTGGGACAGCAGTTGTGGTGCCACCAAAGCCCCACAGAATGTCTGATATGCCGGCGGCAGCCCTGAGGCCTGTCAGGAGAGCGGAGGTTACCTCATCCAACAGGCTTCATGCTTTACTCCACAGAAACCTAGTAACTGTCCCTCAACCGTGTGTTCAGACATGTCCAGCCTGCAGAAATATAGAAGAGTGTGGTGACTGTCCCTTCCCCAGTGTTCTGTCTCAACGGCTCCTCTCCACCTGGAGCCATTGAAAATTGATTTGTTGTCCCCCGCAAAAAGTAAGCTGAGGCATGGGAAGTCACTTTTTAATACTTGAACTTAATGTAGCCTAGGATTAAGGACATTCTATTATATTTTTGAACTATGTTATTGAATCTAAGAACATTACTGAAATTCCTGCCAGGTTTGGTGCATGTCTGTAATCCCAGCAGTTAGGCAGGGGTACAAGGGTCATGCCAGCCTGTCTGCATAAGAAGATCCTGTTTGGGAGAAGGAAAGTTTATCAAGGATCTAGCAGTTCCTGTTAAAGTTTGCCAAGCTATCCAAAATACCTTTTATACACATAGGCTTTAATTTGAAGTTTCATATTGTTGTATTTCATTAATCTAGATTAATTAATCTCAATATGTGGGTCATGACCCCTTTGGGGCTCAAACCACCTTTTCAACAAGGGGCTCCTAAGACTTTTGGAAAATAGATATTTATGTTACAATTCATAACAGTAGCAATTTTTTGTTGTTGTTCTTCAAAACAGGGTTTCTTTGTAGCCATTGGCTGTAGACCAGGCTGACTTCGAACTCATAGGGATCCTACCTCTGCCACCCGAGTGCTGGGATTAAAGGCTTGCGCCACTGCCGCCCAGCTAACTATAGCAAAACTATAGTTATGAAGTAGCAATGAAAATAATTTTATGGTTGGGGCCACCATTGTAATGGTCTGTCCTGTTCCTTTAAGAGAAAAGCTCCCCCCCTCCACCCACTGAGGCAAGCAGATCTTCCTTCTGCTTCCTTTCCAGCTCTTTCCTGAAGATGCAGCTTCTGCCTCTCTCCCTTCTCCCCACTTCTCCCCTTCCCCCCTCTGTTTCTCTTTCTCTCTGTGCCTCTCTCTGCTCTTCCCCCTTCTCCTTTTACCCCCGTTCCCTTTGCCTTCCATAACCCACTAAATAAATACTCACTTTTTTGCATGGTGTGTCTCTGTCTCTCACCCGCGTGGCTTCCTGCCTGGGACCTGCTGGGCCAGCGGGCCACTCTCGGGGACACACCATTTTACTTTAATCATAACCATAACATGAGGAACTATATTAAAGGATCACAGCATTAGAAATTTTGAGAACCACTGATCTAAAGCAATTATCTACTTGATTTATATATTGATGTAGGTGGGTCTTCTTTCTATGTGTTGCTTTCATTGGTTAATTATTAAAGAAACTGCTTGGCCTGATAGGTCAGAACATAGGTGGGTGGAATAGACAGACAGAATGCTGGGAAGAAGGCAATGAGGCAGATGCCATAGCTCTCCTCTCCAGGACAGACTCCATGATTCTTCGACCCGAGACGGATGTAGGCTAGAATCTTTCCCGGTGCTACACACATTAATAGAAATGGGTTAATCAAGATGTGAGAGTTAGCCAGTAAGAGGCTAGATATAATGGGTCAGGCAGTGTCTAAATGAATACAGTTTCTGTGTAATTATTTCGGGGGTAAAGCTAGCTGGGTGGCGGGACACAGCCTGATCGCCTCATCTCTACAATATATATGTATATGTGTGTATACACAGACACACACACACACACACACACACACACACACACACGACAGGCCGGGGGTGGTGGCACACACCTTTAATCCCAGCACTTGGGAGGCAGAGGCAGGCGGATTTCTGAGTTCAAGGCCAGCTTGGTCCACAGAGTGATTTCCAGAATAATCAGGACTGTTACACAGAGAAAAATTATGTCTTGAACCCCCGCCCCCAATAAACAAACAAAAAACCAAAATTTGTATGTATAGATACAGGTAGATTTCTCAACAGCTCCCTTGAGATTTTGATTCAGGATATCTGTTATGATGCTGGAATTTGCATTTGAAGAAATTACTTTATGTATATGGATGTTTTGCTTGCATGTATGTCTGTGTACCTTGTGCATGCCTAGTGCCCAAGGAGGTTGAAGAGGGCAGGTCCCTGCGACTGGTTGTGAGCCGCTCTGTGGGTGCCGGGACTCGAACTCAGATTCTTTGGAAGAGCAGCCAGTGCTCTTAATCACTGAGTCATCTTTCCAGCCCCAACTTTCATTTTTTTTTTAAAGAAAGTGTGTGTGTACATGTGTGTGTGCGTGCGTTCACACATGGGTGTGAAGACGTGCATATTTCATACTGTGTGGAGAGCTGAGGATAACCCCAGGTATCAGCCCTAACCTTCCTTGTTTGAGGTGGAATGCCATTCACCGCAGTGCACCAGGTTAGGTGGCTTGTGAGCTTCAGGGGGTTCTGGCTCTGCATCCCCATTTTGCCTTAGTGTTGTGATTACAGACTGTGCTGCCATGTCTGGCCTACATGTGTTGCAGGATTGACACTTGTGGAATTGATGGCTTGCCCAGTGAACCGTCTCCCCAGCCCTGGAAACCGTAATTTAAAAAGAATGGCGCATGGAAACACCTTCCAAAAGCGAAAATAGTTTTCTCTGTTGAAGAGAACTTTGTCCTTTTTTGTAGGTTATTGCATATATTTTTGTGGGGGCATTACATGTGCATATGTCCTGGTTTCCTTTTGATATTTCTCTTTGTATCAAAGAAACTGTTCAGCTTAATAAAATTGTTTTTCTGTGGTTTGTTTAATTAAAAAAAAAAAGGAGGATGTGACTGTGGCAATCAGCCAAGGCTGGCTCCAGGCTGCCCCTGTGTCCTCACCTTCCTGCAGAGACTGGCTGCAGCCCGAGGGTCCTTTCAGTTTGGAAATTCACAAAGACCTTGGGGCAGCCGACTTACACGCTTGTGTGCTGAATTACGCTCGTGTGCCAGACCCTTCACAGTAAAGCCCTGAGTGTGCTGCACTGAGTCCAGGGCATGGCTGACCGCACACACGCTCTGGTTTCTCACCGTATGTTGGTTCGTGGGGACCCTTTCTTTCGGGTCTTTCAGGGCATTGCTGGCCGCACACATGCTCTGGTTTCTCACCGTATTTTGGTTCGTGGGGACCCTTTCGGGTCTTTCAGCCTATCCACTGTCGCATCAGCCTGTCGCCTTGTGCTCACGTCAGTCTGGGCGTCAAAAACGGGGACCTTTTTTTGTTTGTTTTTCGAGACAGGGTTTCCTTGTGTATAGCCTTGGCTCTACTAGAATTAACTCTGTAGACCAGGCTGGCCTCAAACCCGAGAGATCTGCCTGCCTCTGCCTCCCAAGTACTGGGATTAAAGGCGTGCGCCACCACTGCCTAACTACAAAGGGGAATCTTATATTTGCCAACTGTGAAGATTTCCTTGTTACAGTTTCTGCCCGTCTCCGACAAGTTCACATTCATGATGGTTCTGATTTATTTAGCCAACTGACATGTTAGCTGTGCCTCTCAGCTTTGACATTGCAGATTGAATAAACAGGCTTTCAGTGTGTTTGTTAAAAAACAACACTGATGGAGACAGAAAAGGGAGAGATCCTGTTGGTACAGAATTCATTTTACATAGCATCCCCATATCGTATTTCTCCCATTTCATGTGATGCTGTGCTCTGTTAAGTTCATGTTTGTTTCTTTAAAAAGGAAAACAATGACTGGGCCC